TTGGCTTCAGATAAATATAATTGCTGAAATGTTTGGATGGCAAGATATTACTGGTGTAACTTTAGTGTGACACAAATACGTTTGGCTGGTGCAGTGACGCATATCACAGTACTGAAGCACGTAATCCTGTCTCGTTGTCGAATCCTACTCGTAAACGTGAAAACCTCTCCTGCTGTATAATGTGGAAATTCCTGTTGTTATTTAACCTTGTTTATGTTTAAATCGATGTTTCGTTGACTGAGAATACCTGCTAAAATATTCTATAGTACAATTTTGGGACATCCTTATGTAAAATAGGTACGTTTTCATTTAGTGGTACTGAATACACTGCTTTCATTTGTCCATCCATCAGGTTTTGATAACTGCTCATTTAATCAGGGCTGTGATGGCAGGGAGCCTGTCTGAGGACTTAAAACTCTTCCATTATGATTCCTGAAATATGACTGAATGAGTTGTGCTTTATAACACATAGCATTCACACACAAATGTCTTCACACGCGCACGTCATGCGTTAAGACAGAGCATTACCAGTTCAGCAGAAGAGGATGCAAGTACTGTAGGTGGCCTTCACAGCACCCAGAGGAAACCCTCTCAGATAATGTTAACTTCTAAGTTTGCTTTGAGTGTCCTGGAAATTTTCCACTGAGCGGCACATTTGCATCTGTCTTCTGAAACAGTGCATCATTGCTTGTTTCAACCGCTAGTTTCCAGGGATGGAAACTCCCCAGATCCGTCTGCTTCTTCCTGTTTTCGGGAGAGAGGACTTTGAGCAGCCCTGCTCTCTTCTTATTTTGATTTATTGGGAAAGTATCACTGAAGAATCACTTTATCTTCCTGGGTTTATTACAACACATTTATTTTCATTTTACTCCCAGGTTCGGTTGAATAAATTATTAATGCCATAGATGGTCATTCTCTGGGTTTTTTGTCTTCTCAGTGAAGGAAAAAGGGAAATACCAGTAATACTTACAAAAACATCATCATCAATAACAACAACAACAACAATAATAATAATAATAATAATAATAATAATAATAATAATAAAAAACATCCATATATATCAACATTTGGAATCTGGTCAGAAATTTAAATTCTAATTTAAAAACCCCATTTACTTCCCAGAAGAACCTGAGCAAATGAAAAGGAAAGCTGCCCCCTTATTCATTCCCAGCAGTTGGACATGGTGCTGCCTTCCAGTCCGGCTCGCTCCACTTCGGAATATTATGCATGCCTTTCACCTCCGAAGCAATTTCAGCAGATTTATATGACAACCCTTTAACCCTTTAAGTGCTTGACTGTAATCCGAAGAGACACTGGGGCGTGTAACTCAGAAATGAGACTCTCGCACCTTGTGAGAAATGGAATACAAAACAGTCAGTGCTAAGGGGTGAGGTATGAAATCATGGCTATACAGTGTGTGTGTGTGTGTGTGTGTGCACGTGTGTATATATTAAACATTTGTGTTGCTCAGCATATTGTGATGCTGTTTAAAAATTCTTACTCTGCGCAAAAAATTATGCTAGAAATAACAGACCTATAATCCAGAATAACAGTGTACACAATACTCTCAGGCATTTCAGTAGCATACAGAATATATGATGAATTAAGAACTTTATATCATTCTCTTACTTTATATTTTGATTTCTGCAACTGGACCAGTGAAACTGCTGATTTTTAGTGAAGATGTAAATGCAGGCTATGTACAATAAATTCATGATTAAGATGGTCTCATATTTATGTAACATATTTCAGGTTAGGCTATATGGAAACCTTTTAAACGAAATTAATAGAAATGTTTTACATTACACTTTAAATATTTTTCAAAAATAAATACAATGAAGCACAAATCGCAAGGGTCTGAATCTAACGCCCCCCTATCCGTTCCACACGCCGCAGATTGCCCCGACTCTGCTTTGGTCCTCCACAGACACGTGGCGGTGATGGCGAAGCTAGGGCGACGGCATCATGCCATGTGACGCAGGTTATGCAAATGAGAGATGCTGAGGAGCACGTGTTTGCAGAGGGCGCAGAGCATTCGCAACACATTCGCAATAGAAGTACACGTGGTTCCATGCAAATATAGAACCGGTTCTGTCAGCGTGCTTTGGGGGAGAAGCAGTGGACGTTATGTTCTAACAATTCTACGTGTATGCAATGTGTCTGACTTTTTTAAACTACATCTATATAGATATATAGATAGGAAATAGATAGCGTATTTAAACTACACTATGTACTATGTACACAACTCTGTATTATATGGTTACTGTTGTCCCTGCGATCGGTAATCCAGCTAGTTGTCTGTCAATGTTTCGGAAAAGGGGTCCATCTAGCGTTGTTAACATAGTATTGCGCTGGAAAATATTAGGATGAGATACAGATGCAGTCGCAAGCGGTACATCTTGTATTGCTGACTCCAGGGTTGCCACCTCTCACGCATCTGGCGTGACTCTCAGGCTTTCTGACTCTCGCGCTCAGGCAAGAAATCTTACGGCAAATCTATATTATTCCATTAGGAACCTAAAATTAGCTACATCAAAAGCGTTGGGGTAATTTGCAAACCATACAGACTATTTGCAAGGTAATAAAATTGAAAACCTCTCACCGGCCAGCTTACCAGAGTTGACAACCTTGTGACTCCCTTATCATCTTTCACAGAATACGCCTTAAAACGTTGCTCAGGATGACATTATCTGCAGGTAACACTGGTTAAGGATGTTGCCTTCCACGTGGAGCTCTGGACATTATACTTGGTCATGACACACAGTTGTAAACTAATGGCTGTTGGGTGAATGGCTGGCATCAGCTAAGAAGCTAAACCGATGCTTAGAGACGTTTCCACTCATATATTTTTACAATTTCCATTTACATATAAATCAGACAGATAAACAAAGACGTGCAAGAGGACAACAAAGAAAACTCACAGAAAAAAACAAGTAATGGTTTAAGGTTTTATTCACCTTAATTCATAATATTACAATTGTGTTGTTATGTGTGACCATGCGAGCAGCTGTGTTCAGTCTCAGTCATGCAGCAGCTGTGTTCAGTCTCAGTCATGCAGCAGCTGCCTTTGCCTGTAGATAGTCTCATCATCCTCAAGCTTATTTTCAATATTGCCATTTATATTTAACATCATAAACACACTGCAGGGCTTTTAATTCATGATCCGTTACAAAAAAAAACAAAATCACATGTATGATTGCATTTCATTCAGTGAACCAAAGCTGATGCTTATTTGCAGAAGTACATCGGACATCCCATTGTGCTCTCATAAACACACACACAGATGTGGGAGTGAAGCTTGGGGTCTGACCACAGGGTCAGGCCATTGATCCAGTGTCCCCAGAACATTTTTGGGGGATTAAGGGCATCGCATGAGATCCCAGTGGAGACGTGACTGTTCAAAAAACACTCAGCTGGCACATGGCAAGGAGCGCAGCACTATGGAGATGCTGTGGATCGAACCCAGGACTCCATACATGCAAAGCAAGTGCTCTAGCGATAAGCTAAATCCCCCCTATGCTGTACTTTTACCTTTAATGCCACAGCTTTCCTTTGTACGCGCTGTGTATGCTGTAAGGGCGTATGGAGCGACATGCACAGAGTGAACTGAAATATACGCCCAATATTACACACTTTTAATTCAAGTATCCTGATAAGTATCCAGCCGGATAAATGTGTACAATTATTGGTCATTTTGGATAAACAGAAACTGAGATTTGTGTCTCAGCCCATGGTCGAGCTCACATCTTTGAGACAACGTGATGACACACACGAGCGGTTTCAGAAGATACGTGCTAAGTGTGCAGACGCGAGAGCAGCCCACCATCAAGCTCGCCAGGAAGGGCGGGTGGCACGTAGCAGGATGGTGACTCACAGAGGAGAGGAATCGGTGTGGTGCCATCAGGGGTCATTAAAGTTCACTGCTTTTGGTGAAGAATGGTGCCAAGACACTGATACCTCCAGTGCCCCCCCCCCCC